TATATAAGTAATTAAAATGGCTGAAATGAACTCATATGAAATGTTTGTACAATTACACTTGCCTCAACTAGAATCGTGTGCTATTCCTCAACACTTTTGGAAATCACTTCATGCAAAAATAATCGTTGAAACTTTCGATGCTGGAGAAGTATTTAATCTGCTGTATTTTGATTATTCAGACCACCCACCAGAGGTTAGGGATAGCGAAATGAATGAAACATGCATGCTATTAGCACAACGAGAAATTAAAGCTAACGATACAAATGCTATATATCTGATCGATCACGCATGGAGTTTTCAAATTAACGGCATGCGACAACAGTTAGAACAGTACAGAGCATTAACTGAACGTTTATGCGCAATTGCTGGCGTGAGCACGGTAGATCCGGCACGTATTAATAAATTAATGAGACGCCTTTGGAAGTACTCCAACTCATACACGATTCAAACGCAACGGACACCAAATCAAAATAACGGTTCCGTTTGGTACGTTGTAGATGAAGTAGGTTGTGCCATAAAACATTCAGATATACCCAATTTTCGTTTGGTACCATTTTTATATCAAAATACCAAAATAACATACAGTTTGTTGTTTCCCATTAGAGACTGCGAGGCGCAGCAGCAAGTTTACTGTGATTTTCTTGAACATATAAGTAAAGATGATCCACATCGAATAGCTTTATTATTGCCATGGATACCTATGGATCTAACAGAGAAAAGTTTTGTACAAACTGAGCCTGGTGCAGGTTATTTTACTTCCGGTCATGTTATAGAAACATATCCAGTAGGTTCCGATTTAAGTGATCCAATTATAAATCGAAATGAGCCATTAAAAGTTTATTCCGAGTACACAGTATTACGTGAGTGTCTTACGGATGTTAGTTTTGCTTTAGTTGATAATGAACGTGATGCCGATGTACTCTGGCTCACGTCACATTTCAAAGATTTTGCTGAACTGTCCGAGGAAACACCAAACAAATTTATAAACCAATTTCCATTCGAATATGTTATAACCATTAAGGATTTGTTAAGTATAACATGCAGGCGCGCTGCCGCAGAGCACCACAATGCCGAAACACTTGAAACATATCCCAACTGGCTACCAACTACTTACAATCTTAAAACAGAAACTTTAGAATTTGCATCTTACTACCAAAACCGAGTTGTGAAACAGTTCGATAACCATTGGATTATCAAGCCCTGGAATTTAGCTCGTGGCATGGATACCCATATTACAAATTATATCGACCAAATAATGCGAATATCTCAAACAGGTCCTAAAATTGCACAAAAATATTTGGAACGTCCTGTACTCTTTTATAGAGAAGAGCTGGATACAAAAGTGAGTATTAAATAAAAGCAATTAAATAATTAAAGTTTACATTTAAATAATAAATAATTTTTTAGGTTAAATTCGATATTAGATATGTTCTTCTGTTGAAAAGTGTCAGTCCATTGGAAGCATATGTACACAAGAAATTCTTTCTACGCTTCGCAAACAAACCTTTTTCATTGGACTCATTCGAAGATTATGAAAAACACTTTACTGTTATGAACTACCAAGAGGAAGTCGAATTGCGCCATATTAAATGCGAAGATTTTGTTAATATCTGGAAAGATCAATATCCCAATAGTGATTGGGCTGGTATTGAAGATGAAATATGTGCAATGCTCCATGAAATGCTTACTTGTGCAACCAAAATGCCACCGCCATGTGGCATTGCGCATTCCCCACAATCGCGTGCTTTATATGCGGCAGATATTATGCTAGAATGGAAATTAGATGGAAAGACAATGCAACCGAAATTATTGGAAATAAATTGGACACCAGATTGCAAGCGGGCCTGCGATTATTATCCTGATTTTTATAATAATATATTCAAACTTTTATTTTTGAATGAAAGTAATGAGGAATGTTTCAGACTACTAACTCCAAGTTAAATGTAATGGAAAATTTAAAAAATGTTATATTTTGTATTGAATAATTGAATTATGTATCCTGTAATATTTCTGAACAGATATGATTTTGTAATTTTTAGAATTTAATATTATGCATGAAAAAATAATAATCGAAACTTTAACTAATTAGTTTAATATTTGGGAATCACAATTGACAAGCTTTTATAAAAAGCTAATCTTTAGATTCTTAAGCGCTGTCAATTATATGATATGCAAGGGAAATTTACTTTTAGGCTATCACGAATAATATTACTCAACTTCTTAGGCACACTAAGTAACATTGATATCTCAAAAATTCAAATGCTAGGTGTTGTTTTAAAGTTATTTGAAAAAAAGATTCCATCTCTTACTGCTTCTTCCTTAATTTATTACAACGGGCCTTTAGTTGTGCTTAAGTAGGCTTTGCTGTACAAGTCTGTTATTTCAACTTCAAAACATGGTTGCCAATGACGAATCAGTAACAATTTTAGAAATTATACTCTGCTTGTACTGTCTTTCTTAAGAATTCACAAATTAATATGAAAATATTTTTTCATCGTGTCTGATAGTGTTTAGTGCTATATCTATGACTAATTAGCAGATGATAATGGTAACGCATTCACTTATTTAATATCAATTGCAGGTCGAAATATGGGCTTTAAAATTTCGTAATATCTAAAGATGAGAGATGTTTGGTCTATTTACTTCGAAACCTTCTTATGATGATCTGTCAGAGAGGTAGGTATCCTAGCATATATATTTTTCCCGTTACTGTATATTATTTAGTTTGAAGTTATTTCAAAAGCCAAGAGGATATTTAAAATATTTCTCGAAATATTATCGAATTATTTCTTGCTTAATACAAAAATAAAATAGAGTCGCTGGCTGCAGTAGCTAGAAATATCAAAAATGTGGTTCACTCATTATCACAGCTTTCTATTCGTATTGAGTAACAGTCACCGGCTAATGTAATCAATATTTTTGAACTACAGTGTAAGTCCCCTGTTATTGCAGTCAACAAATATTGTTCGGTGTTGTTTAAAACTTTTGCGAGAATCTTTATAAAAATGAATGTGAACTCTGTTTCCGGAAGAAGCCGTTCCTCTACATAGATGCCCGCGGCAATACATGTGATCTTATCTACACAGATCACCCCGTCTACATAGATGACCGCGTCTACATACATAATCGGGTCTACATAGATGACCGCGTCTACATACATAATCGGGTCCACAAATATGATCTCGTCTATATTGATGACCTTGTCTATATTGATGATCTCATTTATATTGATGACCTCGTCTACATTCATGTCCGCGTCTACACATATGATCTCGTCTACATAGATGACCGCGTTCATACATATGATCTCGTATTTAGTATAACTATTAGGAAATTGGTATATGTACTTAGTTATTGATGCTCGGTCTTAGTTTAATATGCTAAATTATTGGATAGCTTCAAGAAATTTCGAGTTTTTGTTAAAATATGGCATTTATTTTCTTGTTTAATTGATTACTTTTGTTTTCCGGTCCCACAAAATATATGGACAATTATTTAATTATTTATATTTAAGGAAAAAAAAACTATTAATAGCTGAACTACTATTAAAAAGGAATACATAATTCTCGGAACTATTGGCTCATAATGGCAGCTTTCTAAAAATATTTACAAGGTTTCTTTTTTTACTATAAAAACCCATGTTACTTATATACTCATACATACTTACGTTTAGATTAGGCGTATATATAGAGACTACTTTTAAGAGGGGATTTTAAAAACTATAATAATTCTTAGTTCATATGAAAAGATATAATTGAAAAAAAAAGGCAATTATAACTAATGTTATATATTCTGAAACATTTTAGGCGACTTTAATTCGCAGAACGGGTTTAGTAATATGTATATATACAATAATATTCAAGCAATAGCACATATTGCTATCATCGAAGTACAAAAAATTATCAGCGTATAATACTTAAAAGCTCAAATAGCTTTCAACTTTTTTCAAATTATTTATTAAATATTTAAAATTATATTACAAAAAAAAAACGTATATAATTTATTTGAACTTTATTTTTTTTAACCCTTATAACGAACGCATAAACTATTTGTACAAACTTGAAACTAAAAGTACAATGAACTTATACATTACATAGGTAAAGTCAATTTTTTAGCAAATGATAGCTTACAGTAAACATTTCTTTTTAAATTGTTGTATTGTTTTCTTACCAGTAAGAGAACATGTACAAATTAAACAAATTATAATAATTATTATATTTAGTTGCTAAATATAAGTAGAGTGTATAAGAAGTTGATGAAAATTTCTTTCGAAATTATTTGATTTATAATTCGAAATGGCACTTAATGAAAAATGTTTCAATAAATATTTTATATGACGTAAATATAAATTTTTTTTTTAATGGAAGCTTAGATAATATTATTTAAATATATATATAAAGAAAAAACGAAAATATATATATGTTTGTATTTAAATACGTAAGGCAATATACGTACAAGGCACAAAACAGGAAATATAAGAATAAAGATATATAAAATTAAAGATAAATTAAAAAAAAGAAAAATTAAAATTAAGTTATATTAAAAAAAAAGATATATATATAAAAAAAATATATATATATTAAAAAAAATATATATATATATTAAAAAAAAAAGACATATTAAAATAAAGACATATTAAAGAAAAGATATATTAAAAATAAAAGATATATTTAAAATAAAGATATATTAAAATAAATATATATTAAAATAAATATATATTAAAGTAAAGATATATTAAAAAAAAAGATATATTATAATAAATATATATTATAATAAATATATATTAAAATAAAGATATATTAAAATGAAGATATATTTTTAAAAAAATATATTCAAATAAAGATATAATAAATGAGAAAAGAAAATACACATTTTTTCTTAAACTATTATGAATAAACTAATACTAAATGCATAATTTTATTAGAAAATTATACATATTAATGTACACACTATTATTTACTTAATTATACATACCTTAGAAAATAAGCTTATAATAAAATATTACACTATGATTTTTTTTAAATTACAAATGAAAAATTAATTTAAAAACTTAAACGCAAACTTCATCATAATTAAAACGAATATTTTTGTCTGCGGAAGATAATTTGTTTATAGTCTTTTTAACGCGTAGCACAGGCAAACGAACACTAGGATTCTGATGCCAGCATTCCTTCATCAATTTGGACATGCCAGCAAGAAGCTTAAATGTTAAAAAAAATAAATTGATTAATTATACATTGTTTATGATTACAGATTAAATAAAAATATTTTATATAATATAAAAGCGTATAAGATTTGGAAGCTTATAAGCATTTGTAATTTAAACTCAATTTTATTGAAACTTGATTTTACGGGTTGAAAAAAAGTAAATACCAAAAAATCAGTGTCAAAAGTGACTAGCACATTTGAAATTAACACATCACTACTTAACAATAGTATTTCTAATATCTAGCAAATTCGTAATTACAATATCGCGCTGACTATAACATATTATCCCATAGTTACTAGTATTATGTATAATCCAGTAAGGTGAATTGATGTCCGGCTTTGTAGAAAATATCGGCCTACTTAGGCCGAAAAATTTGGATCATTGTGATACCACAATCCAGACCCTAACTATAAAAGCATAAATACAAAATATCTTTTCTGTTCAACAAAAAAAGGAACAACAACAACACGTTTGGTTAAACGTTTAAGGTCTTAAATATTAGAGTTAGGTTAGGAGTGTGAGTGGAGGTCTTGTGCCCAAGACTTACCTGAGGTTAAATAATAGCATGATATGATATTACGGAAAGACAGTGTACGAACAACTCTGAAGTTTAAAGTTTTAGTAGCTACAACTTTTATATAATCCATAATACGTAGTCTACAATTTTATTTAATTTATATATTATGTCGAAGCTATTTGAGCCAGTGCACTTGAGCACTTTTACTCTTTCTTAACTCGAGGTATTTTTAAAATCTCTCTTTATATATATTTATTTAATTTAATAAATAAATAAATAAATGAACATTCAGCAGGTGAGGCTGTCCTAAAATTTTGGTCGACGGCTGAACAATTCTTTAAAAGAACTCTGTTTTTGCCACCGATATGTAAAGTAAGCACGAAAGCACTGCACAAAGCTGTGGGCTTGAAAAATGGTAAGGTGTAAGTTAAAGTATTAAGGCGAATAGGTGCAAATATTGAATTTAACCTTGACCCAGATGAAAGAGTCATTAAACTTCAGCGAGACACAGCTAGATCAATAGGATACAACTTAGTGTTTGAATTTTGGCATGAAAGTAGGTGGGTGATGTCATAAGTAGTAGAAGTATAGTTGGATTATACATTGAGAGTATATGTATTTATACAGGACACGTAACTGCACAAAGCGATGTGTTGAGCATAGTGATAAGCTGTAAGCTAGGACGATGTGAAAAGGTGATAATGTTGAACTTAACCAAGGTTTAAATAAAGAAATCTTGTTACTTTAATGGTAAGGTTTACAAGTTCAGCAGGTTTCTATATCCTAACTCAGAATTACACAACAAAGGGAAACCTCTTTCATCTTCAAAGATTTCAAGTAACTCGGGAAAGTATCATCTACGATATATGGGACATTGATTTGTTTTAATTCATTTTTTAACTCAAATCGATACATTCTTTAACTCAAGTATTATATTTGTTTTTAAATGGTTCTAGATTGAAAATAGCTAAAGGTGATCGAAAAAGGCAATATTCGGTTATAGAAAGATGATCAAGTGCCGCTCACTTCTCTTAAACAGTTTTTTTGTTGTAGTAATCGACAGAAATCTGACGAATTGATGTGTGTAGTTAATGGTGAGAGAGAAAGAGATTGTTTAGGAGCAAGAATAGAAATTAGGGGAAATTAGGGGATGGAATTATAAATGAAATTAACCTAAATCAAGGCGGAGAAAATTAACCAGTTCAATGGGATGGAGACAAAGGAAAAAAGCAATAGATCTATTCCGGTTCATGCAATAATCATTTGTACAAAATTTAGTTTTATTATAATTTTTTTTTAATTGATGTTGCAAGTTGCATACTAATATGCCTACGTTACGTTTTATCCTACTAAATTTCCAATAATCAATTGTTTTTGATACATATTATAAGATATATCAACAACAATACAAGCTCTATTGAAATTTTAAACGAAAAGTTTGCAGCGTTTAATATTACGTATTCCATCATAGTAGTTCCATCATAAATCTTTATTATTGCAAGTGATCTTTATTATATATAAATGTAAATGATTATTATTATATAAATATAGTCATTACTGTGACCGATATGTGCCTTAATACTCATCACAATTTCTTTTCATTTAAAATTAGACAGTAATATGTCAACTTATAACTATATATATTAAAACAAATATGTAAATATGTTACTTACCGGATCAGAACTCCATCGATTTGGTATGCATGGCCTGTAATTATCTATGCATACTACTTTCCGCATATCTTCAAAACTTGGATCAGATGGTACAACATCATAAAACGGCACTTTATATTCCTCTGCAAAGCCGCACGATATTGTGCGTCGACAAACCTCCCAAATAACTAAACCCAAAGCATATATATCCGTACGTCTGAGCGATTCAAAACACTGCAAATTTATACTGCAAGAAAAAAAGAAGTGGAAAATTAATATTATAATCTTTTTCTAATTACTTTAAAATTTCCTTACCTTTCATCTAAAACTTCAGGAGCCATATAACGTTTCGTGCCTACTTTTGGGTTGTCTCCAAAATCTAATTTACCAGTCGTATGTGAGAGTGTAACTGCCAAACCAAAGTCTGCAATAACACAAGTGCCATTTTGCTTCACAAGTATATTTTTCGACTTTAAATCGCGATGTGCCATTGCTGGTTTACCCTGTTAAATAATATATTGTTTATGAAAAAAAAAAAAACAAAATTACAAAATTTGGAATCTATTAATACTTACCTCAGTGCCAAAGATTTCAGTATGTAAATGTGTTAGCCCATTTGCAATTGAATGACATATTCTTATCATATCATTATGACTGAGTGCATTTCTATTCAAGTGATCAAAGAGTGAGCCATCACGATAGTAGTGCGTCAACAACCATAACTGTGTACATGAATTGCGTGATATCATATCTGAACCAATATAACCAAGTATATTCTCATGGCGTAGCAATATTGTACTAAAAAATAGATAAAAAAGCATATATATATAAGAAATTCATATTAAGGCATCTTTCTTTTTTTGTGTACCTATAAATTTCTGTTTCTCTTTTCCAAGATTCTTCTACACGACTGAAAAATATTTTGACTGCAATATTTTCGCCTTGCAATGTGCCACGCCATACTTCTCCATATTTGCCTCTACCAATGCACTCAACTAATGTTACTTGTTTTGCTAGGGTACGTTGAACTAAAAGTGGCAAACCGCTACCGGAACCTGAAGTCACTGAATGTTGTAAATACTCCTATAAAATATAATAATTAGTTATGTTGTATTGTAAAAAAATAGTTTAATACCCACTCTTAATGTACTATCTCCCGCGCTTGTTGCACGCAATAATTCGTCATTAACCATATATGATTCAGGATCTTGTTTAATACGTGAGGCTGACATACGTTTTCGTTGGTTTAGACATTTACCGCGTAAATAATATATTGATGAAATTATTATAGTTAAAATGATTACTGCGGCTAAAATCCAGATGAGAGTAGCACTCGTGTCTGCACTAAGACGTTTCACTTCATCTACAAATTTTTCCAAAAATAATTTACTAAACTTATATACAATATGAAAAACACTTACTGTCTTCAATAGGTGGTAATTCGGGAAATTCACCATCATTACAATAGTCACCTGAACAGCAAACGACATTTGTAACTCCCGCGTGTCGTTTATTTACTGCATTTTGATTGCATATTAACGGCAATTGATCTACAGATGTTGTGCAGCCACGTTTAACTTCTTCTTGGCCAATACCATACCTGGTACGAGACTTCCAACACTGGAAAAATAAATTTTTTTTTAAACTCATATTTTTTTTACTTTTAATCAGTGTGTGAAAACTTACTTGAAGCGCATCCTGACATGTATGAGCGTGTTGCGTTGCATTTTTGCAAGGTGGATCGCAGGAATAACATTTGTATCTAAGCAGATATATAAATTAATCAATTATGTTCAAACTTAATATATATTGACATGAAAATCAAATTAAATAAAAACAAAATTTATAAAAATAAATACAAAATTTATTTTAGTTCATTTCTGTGTTAAACTTTGTTACCTTCTCCTCATGCGACGTTTTGATTTCATGTGTCTCCTTAAATATACCATAATGGTTTAAGCATAAAGGAATGGAATAAGTTATTTGTTAGGATATAAAGCGAGCAATACATGGTAAAAATTAATACACAAATTTATAAACAGAAAACATTTCTAATAAACAACTTCTTGATAATTATCACACGACGCTTTCGAAAAGACAAAATTATACTTGGGTAAAAAATTAATATCAAATTTGATGAATTCTAAATATATTTCTTATAAATGATTACTTAACACTTATCACACAACGACAAATGAAGTTTTTAATCTTCAGCACTTATCTTCTAAATCAATTAAAGTAAACAAAAAAATGTTTTAATACCTGGGATGAGTCTGTATGGAATTCTGCGGCACTGATGGAAATTCTTTGCCATTGGCATTTGTCACTTCCAAATCCATATTTTCTTGATTCTCGTCTAGCAAACGCCCACTTATTTCAGCTTAAAAATAAAACACATATATATATATTTAAAAATACTTTAGAAACTATAATAAACATTTAAATGTTATTTGTATTTATTTATTTTTATGCAATTTATTTGTTTATTTTTGTTCTTATTAACCGCTTTAATGAGTCTTACTTAACGAATGAGAGATAAAAAAAACCAACGCTCAACGTAATGAACAACTTTAAAACAAAATTTAAATATATTTAATGCACTTAGACACTATAGAACAACAAATATTTATAAAATATCATCTCAATAGCGCATAAAACATTGAATTTGAAGTTATACCTTGTGTATCATTTTGCAAAATAAATATTAACAAAAATACAAGCAATTTAGCTGAAGCCATTATATAGAAATGAACAACAATCAAAATAATTAGCAAGATATGCAATTATTTGACATTCTGTGGAGGAAGTGCTGCCAACTTGTATGTAATAAAAGTCTGCCAATGGAACACATCCCAAAATATTAACAGCTGATTTGTGATTTTAGTTATGTGAAAGAAACTGTTTGTAAATAAAAATATAAAACATGTTGAAATTATATAGAAATAAATACAGAAAGTTCTTGCTTAGCAAAAATATTAAAAGTGTATCAACATGGACGCCGCTTGCAACAACTTTCAACTCGCCACCATATAAGAAAATTAATTTTGCACGTTCCGAAGCAGTAAGTTTATTTCTGTTTTCCAAAACACTTTATTATTGTTTAATGAAATTTAATTCAAGGGTTTATTTGGTATACCAGAACTTAAAACACCTGAAGGTTTTTACTTACTTAAGGATAATGTAGCAAATAAGACCAATGATCTTGTAGAGGAAGCAACGTCTGAAAAACGTAATAGGAAAATGGTATTATATAAATATATACTAAAAATGGTATATTTTTATGAATCTCTTGTACATTTAACAGGTTGAAATATTTGACGAGTTGTCAGATTCACTTTGTAAAGTCGCAGACTTGGCAGAATTTATACGCATTGCGCATCCACAAAGTCAATACATGCAAGCAGCCGAAGATGCTTGTATAAGCATTAGTGGAATTGTGGAAAGGTTACTTGTTGCATATAAACATTATTATTAGAATACAATAATTTCTTTATTGACAGTCTAAATACACATAAACCATTATATCAGGCATTAAGTAATGTGGTTGAGAAAGGTGATTTTATACCCACAACTGAGATTGACAAACACGTCTCTAAATTATTTATGTTCGATTTTGAACAATGCGGTATACATTTGCCTGAGGAGGAGCGGCAAAGAGTGGTACGTCTCAACGATTACATTTTACAATTAGGACAGAAATTTATGAATGGTGCTGTACAACCTACGTCCATAAATAAATCTGAAGTGGAAGATTATATACGATCATGGTAAATAATTGGTGCATTTATAATTTTGAAATATTTATAATTAATTATAGTCTATAACTTATATCCTGTAATAATTTTATTTAGCTTTCCAACAGAAGGCGAAAATTTAGTTGTATCTGGTTTATACACTAATTCTTCTAGTGCTCAAGCTCGAGAAGCGGCTTATCGTTTATATTTATATCCTTCCGATAGTCAAGAACAATTTTTGTCAGATCTTCTTAAGTGTCGTTATGCTTTGGCACGTACTTGTGGTTTTGAAACTTATGCACATCGAGCACTTAATTCGAGCACTGTGGAACATCCGAGTATGGTGAAAGAATTCATTGACAAACTGACAGAAGAACTACGACCTCTAGCTGAAGCTGATTTCAGTGTTATGAAAGATATGAAGGTATATACTCCAACAAATTATATAGAATAATTCGTAGACTTACATTTAATTTACATCTACATTTCAGAAAAAGGAGAGCAACGACCCAAATGCTACACTTTCGGCATGGGATACACATTATTTTACGTCGCAAATGAGACGTAAATATTTAAATGCTAACACTAACGAGTTTCTGCCATACTTTAGTCTTGGCGGTTGTATGGAAGGGTTAGATAATTTAATGCAGTCACTGTTTGGAATAACATTAAAAAACGTGGAAATGGAACCAGGCGAAATATGGCATAATGATATTTATAAATTAGCTGTTATGCATGAGTCAGAAGGACTACTGGGTTATATATATTGTGATTTTTTCGAACGGAATGGAAAACCTAATCAGGATTGCCATTTCACTATCCAAGGTGGAAAACGTTTACCGGACGGTAATTATCAATTACCAATAGTGGTTGTAATGTTAAATCTTTCACAACCACGTTGGACGGGACCAACATTGCTGCCACCTTCAAAAGTAGATAATCTCTTTCATGAAATGGGTCATGCAATGCATTCAATGTTAGCGCGTACAGAATATCAACATATAACCGGTACACGTTGTAGTACAGACTTTGCGGAGGTACCATCGGTACTAATGGAATATTTCGCGAGTGATCCACGTGTATTGCGTACATTTGCACGACACTTTCAAACACATAAGCCAATGTCAGAAGATATGCTTTATCGGTTGTGTGCATCCAAGAATTTCTTTTCTGCCAGTGAAACACAACTTCAGGTATTTATTATAGTATTCACAAAACTTATATTTTTTTTTATATGACAATATTATATTGTTAGGTATTCTACTCTGCACTGGATCAAGTATACCATGCTGACTATCCCAAGCATGGAAAAAATACGACTGAAATTCTAAAAGAAGTGCAAAATAACTATTATAGTCTTCCTTACGTCGAAAACACGGTAAATAACAATTAATATATTTTATTTATAATATAAAATACTGTAGTAATTATATAATGTTTAATATAGGCATGGCAGTTGAGGTTTTCACATTTAGTTGGTTACGGCGCAAAATACTATTCGTATTTAATATCAAAAACAATTTCTTCGTGGATATGGCAGACATACTTTGATAAAAATCCATTTAATCGTGAAGCTGGCGAAAAGTACAGACGTGATATCTTAGCGCATGGTGGTGGCATTCCCAGTCGTCAGTTGGTATCAAACTTTTTAAAACGTGATGCAACTCCACAAGCTTTAACACAAACTTTAATCAATGAAATTTATTTAAATAACGAAAAAATCAAAGACACAACAGAAACAAAATTAGCAAAGAATTTGTAGGTTATTTTTAACTGACAAATATACTAAATCCCCTATTTAAAGAAAAAAAAAAACACTGCTATTTTTATATTTATATTATTTTAACTAAATAACTAGTTTTATTAGAATTTGATTTCATGTTGAATATTAAGTAATATAACATTTTTGAAACAAATTCAAATTTTCCTTAATGTGTTGTTATGGGGGGCATTATTTCCATTCCAATAAACTCATTAGCTATCCGAATTCCCAAAAAGAACAAAGCATAACTTTTCACAACAGACCTGTAAATAAATTTTATTAGTTAATATTTTTTCCGATATCTTTTGTTGAAAATGTGGTTATGTCTATTTAATAGTTCACACTTTTTATAAATTTACCATTGAAATTCATTATAATAAATACTTTTCAGTATATTCAGTGGGCGAATAGGCTTTTGTGCCATGTTAAACAAATTTACTGCAATTTGGATTAGAAGCTTTTATAACAAATATAATTCCGTATTTTACTACAGAACAAGATTCTGACAAATTTTGACAGGCCTGTTTAATGTACAAAGTAAGTGATGCCAAGTTTATAAATTATGTCATTGAAGTTTTTTTTTAAATAATTTATTTGTAAAGTACGTTTACACAATTTTAAATACCCCATATTATCAAACTATTCAATAATATTTGATCAGTTTATTTTGATAATAAGATTAATCTAAAATAACATAAATCGAACTATGCAATCATGTACTATTGAGGTCAGATAATTGTGAGTGTAAACATGGTATAAAATAGACTTCCTATACAGTTTTCATCTTCTTAAATATTTCTATCCTAAGATAATTCACGATGTAGTCCACTTGTAGTCCGTTGTGCTACATATATTAGGCGTTTTCGGTGGCTCGCAAGTATGGTAAAAACAGCAAGATGCTGGCCTATACTGGCTGAAATGTACGCAAAACAACAACAATATTTTCTCTATCTAGGCCAGTACTTATTTACTGGTCAAACACTTCTGCCAGTAAAGAAAAAAGTTTCGAACGCTATTAATCGAAGTATTGTGAATCTTTATTGAAAATTCCAACGAATATTGCATTCATATGTAAACAAAAATTCAAAAATTTTATTAAAAATTGGGGAAAAAAAACAAAAAATTGTAAAACATATAAAAATCACATTGAATTTTTTAATATGTTAGTTATTAAGAAGTAACATTTATGTTATTTTATTTTTATAAAAAACGTAGTTTGCTTGATTTATATGCACATATGCAAGATTTGCTGTTTGTGAAAACAAAACATTTGACAAATTGCGACAATGATGTCAATGTCTCGCTTAGCTACTATAAGCAATTTAGTGTTTAGGTACTTGCGTGCCACCGAAAATGTCTTAACTTAATAACTAACAAAAAAAGAGATGAATAATATATACACAATAAATAACAAATTACAAATGATAAAATAAAAAAGCAAAAAAAGATCATGAAATAAAAAAATTAAATTAAATAAAGACAAGTTTTAATTTAAAGTCATTTTGAAGACGGAGGTGACTATTATATTTTATAGAAACTAGTATATTTCATAAAGAGGTTTTTTTAAAAATAATAATCTACAACAACAAAAACTCTTTTATTTTTTTTTAATTAATTGAATTTTTGGTTGACCATACAACTGTTTCGAGTATTACCTAATACCCATCATCATTGGTCTTGGAAATAGTTCTTGTGTTTAAGTATTTCTAAATAATTTTATGAAACTGCAATCAGGGATTGAACTCTTGCCCTGCCAAATTTAAAGCTCAGAGTCAGCGTTCATTAGCCAACTGACCCGAAGCCGTATTTCATTTTTATATTCGCACATTTTTCTGGAGTTTTGTTAATTTGCTCTTTAATATATTTTGTATGAAATTACAAAGAAAACTACCTTACATGAGAAATACATATAATATAATACAATATAATATAAAGCAAATATTATTATTATTTTTTGAATTTTATGCTTGCATGATATTAAGGATAAAAGTTATTAGAATGATAACTATATACTTAAATATGAGTTTAGACAACTTTTTGTTGCAGCTTTTTTTCATAAAAATTTTTGAAATAACTTTTTTTTAGTCCCTGATCATAATACTATTCTTCTGTAGAGACATAATTTATTGCTTGCATTGATATTCGTTTATACTTTATTCATTTTAGAATAAGAAATAGTAATATTGTGCTAAAACTACCTATAAGAATCCATTTTTAACTTCATATACAGCCTTTTAAATGGTTTGACTACACAATATTTGTGTAACAGAAATTACACAATAAAAGCAATTGTAGTGTCAGCAACTCTGGCTAAATCCAAATTGAAAATATTGCTTATTGTCTGCGCACATATGTTTTATTTTTGCTTTGCAAATGTTTAACTGCGTTGAAAAGTTTATTTTATCAAATGAGAATGATCGTTGAAAAGTAGTGTTAAAAAAAAGGAAAAATATAATATTTAAATAAAATATATTAAGGTAAATTGCTCAAACCATAAATCAACTTAATCAAGTGTTACTAAAAAAGTAGAAAATAGATAAGAAACAATCGTAAACTGTGTCTAATTGAAACGAAAAATGATTTTAAAAAATGTAAAGAAAATAATTATGTGACCTAAAAAAAAAAATAAAATTCATTCAACTAATTTACAAAATTGATTTTTAACCATTGTTTAAATTTCTAAGACCAACTCATGCCAACAATATTACACATTAAAACCTTTCACATAACCACCCCAAACTCCCCACCATATAAAACTACCAAAATACGATGAATCATTTGAAGTTTTTCTTTTTGTTTTAACAAATCTAAGTAGTTAAGCTTAGTGTCCCCTTCTTTCCCGCTCCTCTTCTAAAATATAGATAGCAAACTTTATCGCTTATATTGTTATTAAAAGTAATTATTTCTTTTTATCTTCCTTCTGCAAAACCAATGTTTTTCAATTATGATAATATTTGTTTGTGTTTGCATATTTAAGAATGTGCAATACAATATTTTTAGCATTAGTTTTTTTTTTGTTATTTCTAAGTGAAACCATATTTTAGCCAACAGGCCTAAGTGTTAAGTATGTAAGCTGATCTGTGCTTAAGCAATATTTTTTCAGTTGTAAAAGGCTTCACTTCACCGCTGCTTTTAATTATTCCTTACAAAACAAAGGTGACGATGCAAAACACACACACACAACACGAAAACTTAAATGCTTTGTGGCATTGCTAAAAATCTGTAGCATGCGAGAAATTCATTACTGAGTGCATATGTGTAAAGTGATTGCATGCAATTTATTTAATTTATTTAAATCAAACGCAACGTGATGAATGACCGATCTTATTGTTATTATTATATTATTATTATTATGAATGCATCTGAAGCATATAATGTGACCTAATAAGATAATGATTTGATTTGATTTGAAACGCATTCTAAATGAAATCTAAATAATGAGCTGTTGCAAAGTTGTATTGATTACGAACTTCTAGTAATTTTCCAAAAGCGCGATACTAAAATTATTTAAAAAATTTATTATTTAAAAGAAGAAACGCGATTTAGCCTGAATTGTGACTCACAACTTAAGTTTTGCAAAATATGTATAATAAACGAACAACAGCGATTGTTAGAATAATTTCATTTAATCAAGCGCAGATTTACATTGTGGCGTTTTCCCTTTTTTTTATGGAAGATGACTTTTTTTCCTTATGACATTTTACATTCTTCCCTTAAAATCTTAATTAACTTACTTATTTACTAAGTTGGCCATTACAGACGTGAGTCGTCCTTGGTCGCGTCGAGAGGCTTCCGCCAGTCAGCTTGATTAGTTGCTTGCTGTCACCAGTTGGTAGTACTGAACGCTCCTTAATCGTTGGTCACCTGGTCTTTTCACCGAAGAGGCGGACGTCTTCTACTGCGTTTTCCACCTGTGGGTACAGAATCAAATACCTTTCTAGCCGGAACACTTTCTTCCATTCGCACGACGCTGAATTTTTAGGTGCTTAACTATGTCAATGATGTGGTATAGCTCATACAGCTCTTCGTTCCATCTAATTCGTTACTCGTCACCAATGTGTAAGGGACCCTAGATCTGCCGAAGAATTTTTCTCTCGAATGCTTCTAACGCCTTCTCATCACTGTTGGTAATTATTCAAGCTTCCGCACCACACAATAGGACAGGCATGATAAGAAATTTGTAGAACGTGATATTTGTTTGTCGAGAGATTTATTAAGCTACCTAGTACAGTACAGTTTTTGTCAACAAACAAATTTCGTGAAACATATTACTTCATAACCCCCCAACATAAAAATTATGATTTTTTATGAAGCAGTAGTTTGAGAAAATTCTACATATGGTGATTAACACATTTAACAGTATACAAAAACAATCGTAAGTATTACGGAAGCCAACCTAGTAGGGTATTTCATGGATCATAAAGATTCAAGACTAGGAAAAGTAGGCTCTATACTGTCTTTCATTAAAAAAATCGGACTTGGAGAAACAATCTAACCCAAGTAAAGGGCGCAATAGATCTTTTAGGTCGCAGTGCAGAATCCCTTCTTTTAATAATAATAATAATTTAATTACGGGAGCCATGATTCAATGTGAGATGGCATCTCACATAGAAAAGGGCCATGCTACGTATGACCAAAGGCAACATCAGCTCGGGTAGTTGTCTTAATCGTGAGAAACTTGATATACTTGCAAATGTAACTTCTTGAAATAGAAAAGCCGCGAGACACCTTGGATCCAAAGTTTAGTTTCATACACTTTCAAGGTGGGCATCTCATCTCGAATGAAGAAATAAGACTCAGTAATGTAAATTCAACAATAAGTCGGATTTGGAGCAATTCACTAAATTCATAAAGCGTGAAATATAGAAGTGAAATGCTCCATTAATCGTCAACATCAAAAATAATTTCGCAGCTGCAAAAGTTGTCTGTGTACTGGTGACGCGAGAAGTTATATCAACAAATATAAAAGCAAATGAAGAACCTAATATTCGATGAATTTTTATAGGTCTATCTAATATTTTATCAGTTGATTAGCATTAGACTGATAATATTATTTTACTAGAAGCATTCCACATATATCATACTAACTACTTCTCATATTCTCATGTTATTTAAATAATTTAAATTACTTTAAAATATTTTATTTATTGTGGTTTTATATAAAATCTCTAATTCTTAATGATAGTACTTTAACAGAAAGTCATGCCTAAAGGTCCATAAAAAGTTTCGTTTTATTTATTGACAAAGGAAATGGTTAACACATATATCAATGATTATTGAAGATTGATATTTATCCAATATTTTTTAACATTGAAGTTGTTTCTTTTGCAGCGAAGCTATTAACAAGAATTATGATTTTCCAATGGTTCTACAAGCGACTAGATTTATATACTGGAACCAATCGGCTTCCCAGATATTCAAGTGCAACTCATCTTATCCAGTTGGAACTGAAAAACAGGTTTCCTGTGTGAGTTATGCCGACATAATTTCCCAGTATCCAGATCTAAGTATAGCCATGTTTAGTACATCTCTGCTGTGATTTAATAGCGAATTTATCCTATCTGCAAATTTGCTTACCACTCTATTGCTCTTTTCTTTATCTTTTTCAACGTATAACCTACTTTATGGATTTTTTTTATTAATGAATTCAGGCTATCCCAGTATAGGGACTTCATTATAATTGTAACCACAAACCAACTTTTCGAATATTAAAGGGTCTAAATTTTTATAATACACATTCATTTGGCGTTACTAAAAATTTCAAAAAAAAAATTTCAAATATCTCCAGCAAAGTTCAGATCGATGCTATATTTCTAAAATTTCCTTCATAGCATTAATATTAAGGTTTATTGCTTCTTTTTATTCAGAGTGTGTGGCAGCTCAACCGGCCACATTTGTGCACCAGTGGGCTTTGGTTTATAAAGACGCCACTTCAACCTAAACTCACTCACTCGGAGTTCGGGGTTTTTATATGTATATACAGATATTGTATATATTACGTCATGTACTATATTTTGATATACATATATATATATATATATTTTTTTTTTTAATTACAGTGTATTGATATCGCATTATCTAAAGCACTTGAATTATGAATAATTTGATGGAAATAACCAATTGGGGTGATGATGCAGACTACGGTTGCAATAACATAACAAAAAAGTCATTATTTATGAATAATACATATAATGGTATACCAGAAACGCTGATTGTTAACACACTATGGTGGGTTCTATTAATTTTGCTCTTTGCCACACTACGACATCAGGCAGGTGATTATGGTCGTTTAGCGCTAGTAAATAGTAATGGAAATAAGAAACGTTGGACAGAGCTATTTTATTCACGCGGCAATAGCCTCATCGATACGCCAATGCAAACAACACCTCAACCTTCTACAAGTCGTGATGAGCCACGGAGTAGTATTCATTCAGGTTCTACCGATCACACACCACTCTCACCTATACACTACGATCAAGGCTTTTTGAGTTGGATCAAAATAACATTCAAACTACGTAAAGAACAAATACTAATGCATACCGGACCCGATGCAGTGCATTACTTATCATTTCAACAACATTTGATGGTGGTGATGGGTATAGTAACTGCCGTTTCTATGATTGTCATTTTCCCCATCAACTTTTTCAATGGTACCAACGAGTATGGTATTAATGCTTTTGGACGTACAACAATGTCGAACTTATCTCCCGACTCGTCTTGGTTGTGGGTGCATGTCATAGTTAGTATAGCCTACGTGCCATTGATTGTGTTGATAATGCGCCGCGCTTCCGGGCGTAATGCATTTAAAAAAGCTGCTACTCGGACCATTATGATAACGAATATTTCATCGAGTGACCGTAACAGAACAATTATACGTAATTACATACAGGAGCTATTTCCCGACGTTTGTATTGAGGATGTTCAAATTGCTTACAATATATCAAAATTAAATGTACGAAATGAAGAATATGAGAAGGTTTTGGATGCTCGACTCTATTGCGAGCATCATCGTGATCGTGATTCTCTGCAGGTAACGTTTGCTTAATACATTGTGGTAATTTTTTTCATATTAAAAATAATTCAATATTCGATTTAGGTAAGACCAGAATTGTGCTCATGTAAAAAGGAGAACGCATACGAATATTACCAGAGAGAAGAACGTAAGCTCTCCGGGGACGTAGCACGCCTCCGAGCTTCTGCCTTGAATGAACCACTGAATATAGCATTTTTGACTTTATCAAATGTAATGGAGGCACAAAATGTTGTGAGCCACTTTACGCCTGGTACGTATCGACGCTGGACACTAACATTTGCACCCTCGCCTGACGACATTTTTTGGGAGAATCTTAATGTGAACAAAAGTCATTGGTACGTAAAATGGACAATCGTTAACGTGGCACTCTTCGTCGTACTATTCTTTTTGACTACTCCTGCTATTATTGTCAATATGCTAGACAGCATTGCATTGTTAAAAGGTAACACTATATCTCCGCTTGTATCCGAATTTTTGCCAACACTTATGCTCTGGACGCTATCAGTACTGCTGCCAGTTCTCGTTGCATTTTCCGATAAATGGATGTCGCACTACACACGTTCGTTACAAAACTATTCCATTATGATGAAATGCTTCGGATATTTACTATTTATGATTTTAATTTTACCATCATTGGGACTTACTTCGGCTCAAGCTCTATTACAATGGTCCATCAACAATAGTACTACGCGTTGGCAGTGCGTTTTCTTACCTGATCGGGGCTCATTTTATGTTAATTATGTGATTACAGCAGCTTTCATTGGTACTTCACTTGAGCTTCTGCGTTTCCCTGAGCTAATCGTCTACATTTGGATGTTAATAACAGCTAAATCTAAGGCTGAAACGCCATATATACGTAAATCAATTTTGATTGAATTTCCATTTGGTACGCATTATGCTTGGAGTGTGCTGGTTTTCACCATTTCAATTGTATATAGTGTGTTTTGTCCACTAATAATGCCGTTTGCTATGATATATATTTGTTTAAAACATTTTGTCGACCGACATAATCTATACTTTGCATACGGACCATCAAATATGATCTCACGAAATGGTGGGAAAATACATTCTACGGCTGTAACGATGACTAAATTTTCTGTTGTTATTCTTTTACTTGTGATGGCCATGATTTCGGCTGTACGTGGAAACGGAATGGCTCGTGGAATTTTCTTAATTGTTGCCTTAATTGTCACGCTGACTTTGTTTACATTTATGTCACCGATCAAACGTTGTACATCAGCTCGCCGTCCTAGTATTGTTGAAATGGATGAGCCTGCTCCAGTATATATAGCTGAGGTACTAAAAAAACGTCCAGATATAAGGGGTAATGTGCCGCCACGCAATTTAAATGGCGTTGGATCTAATGGCCACGCAGGATATGGCTCAGATAGCGTTTCAGATTTTGAGATAAGCTCTCAATGTAGTGTAAATAGTATAGAAGCATAAAAAGTAATATTTTTTGTATTTTAAATTATTAGTATTTACTTTCGATTGTATATACAATGATTATTAAAAAAATTATTAATTATAGCTTGAGAATACATTGGGATAGACGCCGTCATTATTTTGATTTTTTTTTATATAGTCTGGAAAGAGAGAAATGCTAAAATATTTTACCAATAATAGAGTAAAAATGAATATATAAAAAATAATAGGTATACAAATTTAAATCGAAAATTGTAACGATTAAAAATATGGTATTTAAAATATTTTATATATTGTATTCTCGAACAGTGATATAACCCTAACTTATAAAAATTAGTTTCTTTTTTTATTGTATATAAAATAAAACAATTTTAAAATATTAAAAATTATTATTGTAACTACTATGTATTATTATTTTACGCCCTTTAGATATCAAGCCTGACTTTTTTTATAAATATTTAATAATAGTGCGATAAATTGTATTATACAAAATTAAATATACAGAGCCTAAAATTTGAAAATTGTCTTTGAAAATTTATTGGAATTTAGTTCAAATTATTTAAATTATTTATTTAAAAATTTAAGCAGTCTTGTGCTTTGTGATATAAAGCTAGTTAGGAAATAGTGGATTAACATAAAGGAAGTGGATTTCTCTAGCCATGGCAACGAATAATTTATTTCCTAAAAACAAAAGAGTAAGTAATTAATCTAGTGGTCCACAGTAGACGTTTTATTCTCAGAGCTAACCTGTAATAAAAATAAAATATTATTTCTAGAAATAAATAAACCTTTAGAATCGTTAATATCCTTGTAAAAAGAGGGATAATAAAACCGTCACAGGCGCTAAAAAACTTTTGAACTATTTAATTGATGCTTGAATATTAGTCAAAGTTACGAGAATTAAAGGGGAAGTGCTAATTGCTCGTGAAAGCATCTTTAAATACATTATTTTTGGCATAGTTGTAAATCATAACCTTACTTTTATGGGAAAAGATATATATATGTACTTATAGAATCCATCTTTTTGTCTTATTACATTAAAATAATTGATATGATTTCACAAATGCATTGAAGATTTATGTTAAACATAAAGATTAAAGTACATAAGAATTATAAAATATTATGTTACTGCGTGTTTCAAACCTCATCTCATTGTTTTTATCTCATTGCGTTTTTATCTCATTGTGTTTTTATCTCATTGTGATTTTATCTCATTATGTTTTTATCTCTTTGTGCATTTATCATAAATATAATCTTATAAAACCGGTTCACATTTTTGTAATGAAGTAGAAAATATTATAAATAATTAAAAAATCAAAATAGAATGGTAAATATTTAACACTAAATGATAATGACTTCTAGCAAAAACTAATAAGCAGAAAAATTTATTATTATATATGCATACAGATCTATGCATATCTATTGCTAGTACAATTTTTATATTTAATAACAAAGTTATATGATCAAATAGTCAAATACCGAAGAAAAAATTTATTAATAATTAGAGAGGTTTTTTAATAATAGTAAATTACAACAACAAAATTTTATTACTTTATTAATTGTAATTTTAGCTGACCATAGATCTGTATTGTTGTTGTAATTTACTACCGTTTAAAAATATTTTTATTAAAAAAATAGTTTCTAATAAGAAAATAGTTTCTTTCATCATAGTTAACTTTAAAATCAAATTTATAAATATTATAATAATTATTTTTTTATTTTTTTAAACATTGTTATCGACATTAATTGTTTATATATAAATTTTTTTTTTACCTCGAATTACATTCATTTTTGTTGTAATGAAATGTATAATTAAAATATGTTTTTATTCACATATGTTTTGTATTATCAGAAATGCAAAACATATGTGAGAGTTCCGATGGTTAAAGTTGAATTCTAGAGAATAAGGCAGAAACATATTTCAGGTGTTGAAAACCATGTGAATCCGCTAGCTAGACCTCTTGCTAATATGACAACTTCCTATAGACTGAAACGGAATGATAGATCCTCCATCCTGCTTTCCAAAAGATCATTCTGATTAATTCAACTTATAAGCCGTGGTATTGTACGCCTGGTAAATAATTCCCGGCTACTTATTTAGAGGCCCCTTGAAATAATTTACAAATGATTATATATATACAAGTATATTATATATATATTCTTATTTAGAGCCCCCTTGAAATAATTTACAAATGATTATATTATATATATGATTATATATATATATATATCATTGTAAAATAATTTATGTAAAATAATTTGTAATGTAATGTTATTAGTCTTTAAGACTCTAAAACTTATTGTTAGGTTTTAATTTAAAGCAGATCAATAAAGATATATTGTTAAATAAAAAAAAAATGTTTTATATTATTTAAAGTAAAATAAAACAAGAAACGTTTATATGTATTTGGTGACAAAAAAAAATACAAATTATTTTTTTGCGATCCTTTTAAAAATATGCTAATATTGTTTTTACATGATTTACACGATTTTTCTTTTAAATACTTATAAATTTATTTATTGTATTTTCTCTTACAATGAGACTAACAATAAAGTTTTAAAATCTATCTTATCACTAATTACATAATGTTACAATTTTTTATATTAATTATAAATTGTATAATATAAATACAAAGTGATTTGAATTTGTATGATGTATGTATGATGACTGGTATATTTATAATTTTCTTATATTTTGAAATGTTTATAATTTCGTATTTTAAAAATTCCCTTTGAAAATTTTTTCAACAGTCAAAATAGGGAAATTTTTACATATTTTGTTCAATGGTATGAAAATCAGCTGATTATGCTGATAAATGTAAATAAAAAAAATACATAAACAAAACAAGTTTTAAGTTAAACTCTTTCTAATTATTTAGTGAGTACGTAGAGATGAATTCAATTGCAAAATAATTTTATGTATGAAATTTAGACATAAAGTTAATAAAAAATTTTCTTCCCAAATTTACATGCTAACTGAAACATTGGATCAAAGGTCAATCGATGGTGCTAAGAAACCAATCGGAAACGAATATAAAAAAAATTTATATAGTGGCTTATCATAAATCAGATTAAATCTACTAAATACTAAAATTAGTAAAATAAGTTCAATGGAATAAAATTCTTGTTCGTTATCCGTCAGTGATTATTTTGCAAAATTGTTAAATGCGTTTGTGTTATGTACAAAGCAATTACGTCTAAACAAGTTTGCTAATATTTAATTACAAAAGTACGCTTTGTCCGTTTAGTATTCGTGGAGATTTAAGCGTGAATGGTTGAACGGCTACTTCCGAAATTTTCTTTGAATTCTGAACAATTATTGTGAAAATAAATTAAAAAATTATCGCTAAAAAAATGGTCCCAATTGATACGGTTAACCCTGATTTACAAAAAGAGCGCCATAGCGCTACTTTTAGTAGCAATGAATTTTCAGTTTGGTGGGCGGGTGGCCCAAAGAAATATGAAGAAAAAAAGAAACTGGGTGAGTGTGAAATTTTTTGAGTTTCTACATTATTATATCTAATTTTTAGAGCTACATTTAAGCTAAAAATAATATTAGCTTTCTTAAAAAAAAAACGTTAATAAGTTAAAGGGATTGAGTAATAATCTGGATAATACATGTAATTATTGCATGTGTAAACATATTGACTGTACCAGCTATTAGAAAAAAGATCTGTTGTCGGCAAGGTAATATATGTATATAACATATAATTACATTTACTTTTTACTTCTGAGTTAAGTACTTGCTTTGAAACAATTAAATGCCTACTAATATAAATAGTTTTATGTTAATAGCTTATAATTTAAATAATGACTTGCAAATTTAATAATATAAAATTAATATGTCTAATTAAAATATTATTAATTTATTAGTAGTAAGCCTAAAAATAAATAAGGAGAATATCTAATTGTTCGTTTACCAAAAGCAATTATAAAATGGTATACTTAGGCAAGAAATTAGTTACTAACGACGTTATTTCTGTTTCTAATGTCGTTTCATATATGTTATGATAAGATATAGCATGATAGATGTCAAAGACTTTAGTATACCATTCTTCTCTCTAATAATCTAAAATCATTTACAACTATTCCTTGATACAATATCCAATTTAAAAAAGTTGAATCCACTTATGAATTTATAGGTTGACAACTCCAGATTTAATCGAAAAAAGTAGTATATTATGTTAAGGCTAGTTGAGTCAGTGCACTTGAGCACTTTTACTCTCTATTAACCGCTAGGTTTCTTCATAACCACTCTCTACGCCTTGACTGAATTATTGTTTATCACTTCATCAGATTTAGCAATAATTGACCTCAAATCTGCATATCTCTTCGAGGAGCCTGTAACCCTTATGAGATTCGATAACGCCGTGTTGGTAAGCTTGTCGTAAATACCATAATTAGAGTTCCTTATTCTTTATGTATTTTTTAAAATTTCATATATTTACATGTATAAAAACACAGGTTAATTGCTCAATTTAGTAAAATGAAAATTATTGTTGTTAATATTAATTATTTATTTATTTTCATTCCAATATTTTGAATATTATTATTTCAATCTTAGAGGAACTGATATACTTGCATGAGATATATATTAAAAGACTCTTCCGGCATATTATCTTACCATACAGTTCGTGCAAAGTACAATAATAAAAGCTATATATATATCTATCGGTTAGTCTATCGATAACGTATACATTTATTATCACCTGTTGAGCATTACGAACATACGTACATGTTTATGTGTAAGACTAATTATCACATTAATATACAAATGTACTTAATGAGTATTAAGTTATAGTAGAGCTACTAGTTTCCTTATTATTAAAAAAGCAATTATATATAGTAAATTATAAGTAATAGTACAGTAGTGCTGACACACAATACATACGTGACCTACACCATGCAAGATACAAAGTTCTTAATATTTGTCTGCGACTAACATTTAAAAAATTTCTCAGTTCTAAAAATTTTATATCTAATGCCATCTATACTTGCTTTTAATAGATTTTAATATAACAATATAAATATACAATTTAATTTATTATAAATTTTTAATACATTTTGCACTGTTGTGCATTAAGAAGGGCATATTAAGTTAGTCAAGATTTTTGTAACAAAGTGGAGAAGTTACAGATTATATGTATAAACATAGATCGAATGTACAGCGAATCGATTTTTTGATATTCATTTATTTTTCTGCCTCACTATTTTGACCGAAGCACTTTCAATAAAATACAATTCGATTTCTTTGTAATTATTCAAAAATTATAAATTATTTAAATATGTGAATCGAATATCAAATGATTTTCAATAATAGCCAATAATAAATGTTCTAATTAAATGTATGTATATTGTCATGCATGTTATACGAGTACCTATGTCAGATAGGTATGTCAGTAATTCGAATAAATGCAGTTGAAACTGAGTGAGTGCTTGAATCTAAAAATAAGTCTAATATTTATAAAAACAGAGAGATTTAGTTCTCCTTGATATTGTTCCACGTATCATGGTGTGCAGTCCACAATTAGTTGTTGCTTCTGTTATGCCTCTAACTTTACAAATAACGAATTGATATTTCTAACCAACGAATTAATTTCGAATGAAGTGAATGCTTGTATCTATATGTTTATGCTAAAAGTATTTAAAAAATTCTGAGCAAATAAACAGTATGTCAACGAATATTAAACTAGCTTGTAAGCTGAAGGGGTTAATATAGATCTATTCCTTTTTATATACTCTAACAGGTTCCAATAGATCTTTGTTTCTTGTATTATTTATTTGAATATTTTAAAGTTTCTGTTATTTTGATAGCATAATTTAAATTAATACTAATTAAGACTCTATTACTTTTGTGGCTTAATTCTAATGAATTCTATTATTAGATTTGAATAGATTTGACTCACATTAATATTTGCTTGCTAGTAGCCAATAAAATAAATAAAAAAAACTTTATTTTCTATTTATTTTCTATAATGTCGTTTTGGAAAAACATTCTACTATAACGGAATAAAGTATTTTAAGCTGTTTTAAGCTGTATAATTAGTTAGTTGTGGTGGAGGGAGGAACGAGTCCTCCTCAATTAGCTACAAAAGCCTTTTTGAATTCACAAAACCTCGTAATAGTGGGTAGTAGAGAGAAAGTTAAACTAGAACCAGCTAGAGGCATTTATAAAGTCAAGAATCTGCATGAGAGACATCGCCGAGAGCGTTGAAGAAAGGGGTCTCCAGAAACTTAAGCCTAGTTCTGGCCAAACCTGGACATAGACACATCAGGTGTTCTGGTATTTTTTCTTCCACAGCTGGTAGAGACGCATTGCAGGAGATAGGGTAGGTCAAGTCTAGCTCCATGCCGTCCTATGGTGCCAGTGCCTTGTAAAGATAGATATTAAAATAGATAACTCTGATTTGCTTCTATGTATTAAGTCAGAGGTTCAACATTTGGAATAGATTGGCCAGTAGTCCTCGACCTGGCTACTGAGGCGGCAAGGTACTTATTATTATTTTATGAAGAAAAAAAATTAAAGGAAAGTTTATTTAAATATCAATTTATAAATACAAAATATAAAAACAAAACGTGAGAAAAATCTAGATTTGTTATATAATTTTTCAATGAATAAAATGAACTTCAAATTCCAATTGACTACATAGATTAGTATATAGATTATAATATATTTGATTGAGTAAAATAACTTTTCATATATTTAATCTAATTTTTATTCAATTTCAATCTCTTACGAGTATTAATATATTACTATGACTTTATAAAAAAAATTAGATTTTTTGTTTTGTAAAATATTTAGAGACCCGGTTTATTATAAATGTTGCTCCAGAGTTCAAAAGCTGTTGACTCATTTAAAATTTCGTATGTATCTGAAAATTATATACGAAGATAATAGAGAGCAAGTACTTAAGACCTTTGTACCTTGAAATTGATGCTTTTCATTTGGAATTTATCAACATTTTTACTAACCAATTTTCCAAAGAAACTTGATAGGCAATTACATTATATTTATATGTATAAATATATGTATATGTATATAGTAGTATTCATTCATAATCGCTCTATTAAATGTGCACTAATATCCGTCAGATTAAAAACAATTATACAAAATAAATTCAAATGTTGAACTTATCGCTTAAACATTTATGGTGTGCTAAATTTTAAGTACATTCAAGTTTTTTAATTCAAATATATACATAGATACATTGATTCATAGACTGATTAAAAAATAAAAACAATAATTTGTAACATTAGTTAATAAAATTATTATTATGACTGTAGTCAATATATTTAGCAATAAAAAGGAAAAATAATTGTTTAAATATTTTTTAAAAAAATAATAAAAAAAGGTAATATTTATTCTTGTCAATTGGAATGGAGAGCGATAATAGGGAAACACCCGGTTTTTCTTTCAAAATTTCTACTTAAGGTTCCATAATTTCTAATGAAATTTTGTAGGTAAAAAATAGATACGGACAATAATAACAGTAATAAAAAAAAGTCAAGTGTAAGGATGATTGAAAGAGTGAAAATGTTATATTCTGTATATATCTTTAAAAGAAATTGCACCTGTATAGGAGAGCAGCAACAATACAAACTTTTGAGTGAAGTTGTCTCTCATAAGACCCAATCTTTTATTCTAAATATTTACTTATAAAGTTGGATTGGATTTAAAAATATCGAATATAAACTTTTTGTAAAGGTTTGGGATACTATCTAGGGTCGCACGCTATAGATACACATTATGCCATTGGTTTTTCGGTCTCAGTACATCTGGTTGCAGATTAATATTGATTTCATTATGAGACATGCCTTTGTTATTTTGTTAGGTATACATTGACATCTGCAGATTTTGTAAAACACCTACTTAAACTGATATATTGTAGCTGAACATACTTATGTTAATTAACGTTTTTGAGTTCTGGAATTAAAGCACGCAGACATCAGTAGAATCTACTGATGTCAGGACGTCTATATAAAATTTCATGTGTTTGGCAGGAATCTTTAGTCCAGTGTCTTTATTTAGGTGAAATCTGGAATCTGACACCAAGATGTTCTTAGATCAGCTTAGAAGACTTCACCTGTGGATAAATCAGTAGAGGCTCGTAGTATACACTTATCCTAATAATTAAATATTATGAGTTTTCATTAGATAATAATATAATATAGTTATAGATATAAGATATTATAGCTATAAGATTTCTATTATTGGTAAGCTGAAATAAAAGCACCTTCGCCTATCGTATTCTGTTTAAAAAAAAATATCTGACTAATTTTTGAAATTCTGTTGCTAATAAAAAGAAATAAATTTATCAAAGTTACTAACTATTACCTCCAAAAATTTTTTCAGAAAAACTCTTTCTTGATGATCCGACTTTGAAGGATGATATACCAATTTCCTATATGTCACATAAGGAACTTTATGAACATAGTGTAAAAAAAGCCACCATAATCGCACAAAAAATACGTCAAATACGTAATGACGGCGAAGATAGTGTCGACGTCTATAAGTATTATAAAGATCATATATATTAATTCATGAGTAATAATAAATATTCTTCTTTTAAAGTGCTATACTTGGTGGTTCACTCGGTTCTGCTCTCATTAAGGAAGGTAACCCGATGACATTACATTTTGTAATGTTTGTACCGACAATCATGGGTCAAGGTATTCTTGTAATTATAAAATCAAATTCAGTCTCCAAATAACAATATATATTCCTCTACAGGAACCATGGACCAACAAATGGAATGGTTACCAAAAGCATGGGATTGCTCCATAATTGGTACTTATGCACAAACTGAGTTGGGTCATGGCACCTTTTTGCGTGGGTTAGAAACACGTGCTGACTATGATGCTTCTACACAAGAGTTTGTTTTGAATACTCCTACACTAACTGCCTACAAATGGTGGCCTGGTGGTTGTAAGTTTTATTAAAAATTATAAATTTTATCTTAAACCTATTTAATAGTATTTTACTTTCCTTAACTCCAGTGGGTCACACTGCAAATTATGCAATTGTTGTTGCACAACTTTATACGAAAGGTGAATTTCGTGGTTTGGCTCCGTTCATAGTGCAATTACGTGACGAGGAGACGCATGAACCATTACCTGGTATTGATGTTGGCGAAATTGGTACCAAATTGGGTATGAAATCAGTTAATAATGGTTACTTGGGTCTAAAGAACTTGCGTATTCCACTTAAAAATATGCTTATGAAAAATCAACAGGTACCATATTTGTGTAGAGTTATGAAATCAACACTAGGTTTAAAATATTAAAACATCTGATCTGCAGGTCCTTCCTGATGGCACATATGTAGCACCTAAGAATACTGTTTTAACCTATGGCACTATGATGTTCGTGCGTTGTGCTCTTATACGTGATACAGCACAAAGCTTAGCGAAAGCTTCAACAATTGCCACACGGTATTCAGCCGTGCGTCGTCAAAGTCCAATAGATCCAAAGTAAATAGATTTTATTTGCCTTTCAGATTTATTTTTTCAACTTGAATTTATTTGCAGTCTACCTGAA